GCCTTTGAAACCGATCAAAATCGCCTTTGACTTCTACTGAAGTGGCCCATTCGTGAAAGTGTCTGGGGGAAGAATCGCCATCCAGCCAGGTGTATGCGCCGGAACTCAGAGCTGTGCCCTGCCCGTAGACTCGTACGCCTGAATGAGTGGTATGCTGATGTGACTTTTCGAGAGATGCAACCGCCAGGTTGCTCAGCAAGATCCAAGATGGAACGGGCTGTGCATCTGAGCTTGAGGCACCATTGGAAGATGTGACAGCCATTTTCAATCTGGGGAGTTGATATGAAGGCTTGACAAGTAGGAAAAAATAATATGACTTAGAATGCGTGTGACAACTATGTTCTGACTTGTGGTGTTGAACTTCAACTGATGATTGAGTCAAATACGTATACTCGATTTCAAGTAGCATGTCATAGAGAAGCAGACTTCATGGACCCAGCCATTTCGTACAGCAGCGGTTGCATCATTCAGATGTCCTTTTGAGAGCCGAGACATCCATCTGGCTCATAGAAGATCCGCGCTGGCAGTTCACCCAGATAAAAGACTACAAAATGGAGTTGCACATAATCTTTGGCCTGAAATTTACCACTTGGAGCAGGCCAAGGACTGTCTCATGGATTGCGAGTCTCAACTCATAGCGCAGAGTCACTTCGACAAGTTCCCGCGAACATTCTTCCCTAGCAAACCTCCTTTCTTTGCGGTTGTTCGTCCCCTTCCAGCGGACTTTGAGCAATGCGACATCTGCAACATGGTCATGCTTTTCAGAGACTTGAATGAGCATCTCAAAGAGCATGGGGAGACAATGTGCGACGTATGTGGTAGCAGACTTGCATTGGATAGTCTTGAAAGCCATTGCACCCAAGTCCACGGTTTCCGACCTTGTCAGCTTTGCAAGAAGATCCTCAGCCCACAAAAGGATGAGGATCACCTGAGAAAATACCACAACTGCCCTTCCTGTCATGGTTTGCAGGTTGATGCCATCACAGGCCATATGGAGGACAAGCATCACCTCCACTGGTGTGATGACTGTCACAACGATAACTCTGTCTTTTATATCATCAAGGCCCATCCACACCCAATATGCCATGCCTGTGATGAGATCGTCTTTCACTGTGGCATGTTGGGTCACCTTCGGTATTCACATGGTCTGTCATGGTGCCTCGAATGCGAAACACGGGGTTCGGAAACGCCCATCGAAGAATTATGGTCGCACATTACCTCTTCTCCTTACCACGCCTCATATCAATGCATCTTCTGTGAAACATTGTACTTGGAGAAAGGGCTACTTCACAATCATCTTACTGGTATTCACGAAATACGTACCTGCTCATTTTGCCCGTCTGAAACATCCTTCGACATGAGGCACGTCTTCGACAAACACAAAATGAGTCGATGTCCAGAGTGTGGAACTCACGTTCCAGAGGAACGAGTGCAGCCACATTTGCGGTTCACACACAATTGGGTCGTTTGCACTATCTGTGGCGCCTCAGAACCTGATGAAGACGCTCTTGAAGACCATGAAGAAGACCATCCTGCATGCGACATATGCCGCCAACAACAGATGAAATTGGAGGACTTGCGCAAGCGCTTGGAGCCCGAGCATGGGCTTGTTTTCTGTCCATTCTGCTCGTTCAGGACGACAGATCTTCTGCAACATGTGCAAGGCGAACGTTCCCTTTTGACTAAGTCGACTGTCCCGAGAGGCTCTCGGACGATTACACAAAACGTTCTATCGACGCTCGGAACGGAGCTTGAGCGTTTGGAAAGTCACCATCCAAGGTCCAGAGAGCTTTTAGGCAGGGCCATGATCTGCATCACATAAGCAGTCGAACTAGAAAGTCAATTGTCAGTGGAGCCGGCCTCCATGGATGGGGAAGATAGGGACCACTTTACGCTCCATGGGACATCCGAGAAATCAACTCAAGTTTCCAACTCACGGCAACATGGTTCCAGCTCGTCAAACATATTTAATTTGTCCACAAAAAGCCGAAAGACCGTCGAGCCTGATCGAATGGATACAGTAACGCGCAGCCAACGTCAATCAAAGGCAGTGGCCAGTTGCGACCGTCATGGCAACAGAACGGAACCCTTTAAAAGTGCCTCGGAGTCTTTGCTACAGAAAATAACGAGCAAGGAGACGTTACGCAAATTGGAGGAAGTTGATTCTTCACGAGGCCAATTGGACAGTCTACAGACAGGTCTCTGCGATCTTATCTCCGAGGGCGACAATGTCTACCGGTCTGTCTCTACAATTAGCACCTTTGTTGACAACTGCGAGCATGGTGCCGGATACATAAGAATATGCAAGTTCTATGGACTTCTCAAGATAGCAAAGATGCTTGAGCGTAGGAGAATGGAAACCGCAAGACAGAGAGTCGACAGCGCCGACTATGACCGAATTTTGCAGTGCAAAGGCCTGTCAATCAACCAACGCAGCCGCGCTGAGTTGAGACAAAAAGTCAAACTGGGACGTCAGTTGCAAAAGATCTGCGGGCCTGATGTTGGACTGGGTTGTTTATTGGCTGTCGACGTTAGTAATATCAAGTCTATCGCAAACGTCGAAGCAACAGAAAAGGAGTGATTTCATCAAGCGGTGAAGAGGCACCACATCATTTGTGAGTTTGGTAGGAAGTGTCTTCACAGCTTAGTATTAGGCGTGGAGTTGGACCCTGGGGACATTTATGAACTCAATGCGCTCGCTCAATAAAAGTAACAATTGGCCATGTTCAACCTGAGATACTGTCCTAATTGAATGCCAAGTGTAGCATACCGATAGCTACAATGAAAAGCCATGACCAAGCCTCGCAGGTAGATTTTAACTTCAGGCTATAATCCTGTTATGGCTGATAATCATTGTAGCTCGGACGACGGTGCTCAGCTATAGTAAATTTGTAGTCTCGGCGTTAATCTTTGGAACATGGCTGACACCGCACATTCACACTAAAATGGTGAATATCGTCTGGTTTATGGTCTGAATGGGGGTGGGGGAGGGAGGCATTTTTATGTTCAGCCCGCTTCGGATCGGCCCCGCAATGATGGGCCTATGTCCTTGAGACATTCATTCAGTGAACACACGTCGCACAAACGACTCATATTGGTGTCTGGAGGTCCTGAAGGGTGGCCTGGATTGCTAACTTGAAACGTTGAAGAGATCCCCTGATATATTTCACGTTCCTGTTTTTCCACCCACCAACCGTTTGAGAAGAAAGGCCACCCATTTGACCAGCTGGTCCAGCACAGCAAACCACCAGAGCTTCGAACTTACGTAGGATTTCTGTCATCTGTAGGGTCTTACTGTGGTCGTTTTTCTTTTCTTTTTGGCTGCGGTGAAAGACCTTCTCCGATTGCAAACCCCAAATTGATTGGCAGCGGGTCCCGTGTGCGTCTTCGTATTCTAGTGTCAACCACCTGTCTGCCACCGCCTGATGTTATTATTAGTCGGACCACGTTAATTCTGCTTTCGATATCGGTATGCGGGAGAGCCAAGCTGATTTTATATCGTGCTCGACGGGGCAATTGGCTCTATTCGCTGTGTAGTTCCACTCGGGATGTTATTAACGACTCGTGTGATCCCTGTCTCGTCCCTATCAGGGCGAGGCTTCCTGACAAAATGCCAGCATCTTTGTCATTGTACCCCGGCTTACTTTATTTGAGTTTGATCAACGGGTTGAGGCGCGCTGATCAACGTCTATTACCAGCGGTGAACTCCCACAATACTGCGTACCAGCCAGCTCGATCTGATACGTCGCTGAATACTATATAAAGTTGACTTTCATTCCCCGACTTTTTCGTTGATGGACATATTCGCCTATCATCGGACTACAGCTCCTTCAACCAACGATCGCCATGAAGTTCACCACTATCATTTTCGCCGCTGGCATCGCTGCCGTCCAAGGCTTGGAGCTGATCAGCGAGAACCCACTTTGCAAGTACGAGAAGCTCAGTGTCGCTGCATGGCACAACTGCAACGACTTCAACGGCGGCCAGGACCCGTACAAGGACTCAGACTGCGATCTGCCTTGCGCTAGAGCCGGAAGAAACGAGGGCGGAAAGTTCGTTCACGTCGCCAACTACTGGGGTAGCGATAGATGCGCCCTGCAGTGCTATCTTAAGTAAACCAAAGGTATGAACCTCGAGCCCCAAACACTTACCTCTGGTGACCTTAACTGACCACAGGGATTGGCGCAGGGCCAATTACACAGCGAGAACAACGAGAGAATGAGGATTACATGATACCAACTACATAGTAACTATAATAAATCCAACAACCTAGATCACATGAATGGCGTAAGAGCCTTGATTCATTGAAGGGTGACTGTCTTGATCTTTATCTGGCTATCGAAACATCCTCTGCATCCAGCACTCGGTATTCGAGGACATATCATGGACATTCATTACCGAATGCCGACCATTAAAATACGAGGAATACACAACTGGTGTCACCCTCCATGTGGCAGAAACGGACTGACGCCGAGGTTCGATGCACGCAAACCTTCGGAGTATCAATCTAAAGGCAAGATAGTTTGGATTCATTGCTCGCAAAGGTTTGAAATGATGCCTTCTGCAATGTTACCAACTAAAGGACTCCACGATAAGCCTTGCTTTAACTACATTTCCCTTGCGTACAATATCCGAAAAGGCAGTCCTGACTTCGTCGCTCAATCCCTCCGGCCCGCAAACCATCACGCAGACTTCGCTCGTAGCCCCATTTAGCTCGTTCTCAAGCACGTCTCTCACATTCATCCTCTTACCGATGAAAACCTCCTTCTCAATCCTCCACAAGGAGCCTGAGGCTTCAATTTCATCCACCAATGCCTGAGATCGGCATCCCCAAAACAGCTTGGAGCGGCCAGGGTGACCGGCTAAACTGGGTAGAAGAGCAGTTACTCCCACCCCACCAGCGATTGCAACCATCGTCGGGGCTTTGTGCGGTGATTCAAACAGAGGCGCGTGAGATGGGTATCCAGACTCAACAAGCACAGGGATTGAACTGCGAGTGCTTAAACGTGAGGATAAACCTGTATGGGTCCGAATGTAGAATGTGATCCCCATCTCGGGTGGCTTGTCAGATGTCTGGGATGAGCTGACGGGACGGTGGCTGACTGCAGACTTCTTATCAGCAGCCCGATCGCTGCTGTTGGAGATCTTTTCGATGTCGCCGTCAATTTGCTGGGCGACTTCAATTCGGGAGCGAGTTGAAAACAAAAGATGCCGGAGGCAATTGAGAAAGGGTGGTTCTCCCATATGCGCCAGGTGAGAGTTGGGAAGTACAGGTATGCAACGCCAGATGCGGAAACACCTGGGACGGTAACGCGAATATACTCTGAGTCGACCGCCGTGATATCAGCTGTCTTGACGCCGTGGCGTAGGAGTCTCAGGACTCGAAACACGCGGTCGAAAGCCCAGATCGCCATGCACACGATAATCCATATCTCGTAACCCCATTGGTGTTTGAACTCGAAGACAATGTGCCAGTAACAGCCAGCGATGATCAGAATAGCCACGGCAATATGCCATGCGAGGAACGCCTCATAGATCTTCCTGCGGATGGGTATGACCGAAGACGGAAACATGACGACCAGACCCAACGTCGCAATGATACCCCAGTACCAGTATGGTTCTAGGCACTCGGTCGCGTGGGTGCCATTCTTGATATAAACATCCAGGTAGATGATGCTATGTAGGATAGCCTGCAGGGTTGCTATGGCTGCTATCCATCGGTGCACCAAGAGAAACGTCGAGTGGGACCAGTCTGTAACCCAAAGCAGGAGATTGTTTCGACCGGCGTACAGAAATGCCAGCGGCAGGTTGGCGAAACTTAGCAGTCCAAGACGGTTGGATATTAACATACACATCCAACGCCAGCCGTCGCCAGGATACCAAGTGTTGGGGTCGGCGTACTGATAGTTGACTGCTGATAGTACGGTGTTAATGACTATGAAGTATAATATGAAGAGAGCTTGTCCACGCTTTGGCATGAGAGCAAGTCCAAAGAAGACGGGTGTGTCATGACGGTGGCCAAATAGAGGTGGGTCGATGATCAACGCGTTGAACTTGGTGCGCCAAGCTGTCGGAAAGGGGACAAAGCGTAGGAGCGAGACGGCGATGGGGATGACAACGCCTGAGAGGAGTATTATCAGACTGCATATTGTTAGACTCAATTCATGTCTGAGGGAGTGTTGTACTGCTCACCCAAATCCTTCCTGTTGGCTTTCTTGATTTTCAAAGATCGTATCGGTATTGTAAGCCGCAAACCAAAGGTCTTCGGATACCAGGCTCGTTTGATTCAGAGACCCAGTGGCGTTGTATAAAGCAGTTGGAGTACCGCTGATCTTCTCCAGCGCCTGTTGGTATGTCTCCTTCGGGTCCGGCTGAACGGCTTCTGTGCCGGCCACGTTCTCTTGCCAGAACTTCTCGAGCTTCCAAGTGGGCATGTTTTTGCAACGAATCGAGACACACCAAGCAAGTGTCTGCAGAAATGCGTCGTCGGTAGCGTAGCAGCTCGGGTCTGTCATCACCATGCCGCTCATCGACATTCCAGACATGCCGCCCATGTCGTCTGAACCGGTAGTCGAGCAGTTCAAAGTTGCGCCAGAGATTGCATCGCGGCATGCAAAGGCGCAAGGAGGTTTGTACATGGTGATTCCGTAACCGACCAGGCCTTGCCCGGCGCCCATCGCATGGCCGGCCGCCGCGGCAAGGACGACGAATGAATGGGGCTTCATCGAAGATGTTGAAGATATTAGATGATGATGATGTAGCTAGATCGCCAAGGCTGCAGATGTCCCTTTTGATTCAACATCGACAGGTATCCGCTTCCTAGTTATACGAATATGAACCACACGAGGAGGTTGCATCTGATGCGGAGTTTGCGATTAGGATTTGGGTGATTGAGGTAGTGGGTTTTAGATCGGGAAAACTGCTCAAACTCTCTCACACTGCGTTCGTTTTCGCCGCAACCTGAGCAGTAATACGTCCGACCTGATTGGATCATACCTCGAAACAAAGGCCTCGATCACTTTCGCTTTTGACTGTCATTCCACAAGCAGCGGCTCGAATCCGGGCCCACGGTGACGGCTCGCAGGGTTTAGGGACTTTCGTACCATATTCCGCGATCCGCCCCGCAGACCACACGTCGCTCTAGGCGGGTTATTGTTATTACTCACGATCAACAGCTCATTCGTGGCGTTTGAAAATGTAGAATGACCGCGTTTAGATCGAAACCGGTGAAGACGAAATGAACTCACCCATGTGATAAGGGCCAAGGCCGTGCTTTGTCCACACGCAGCCAGAGCTACGGCCAATTGTGTCGCTTTGCGGCCTCCTTTCCTGACGGCTAGGCTTGAAATTTTGTGTCGCTCGAAGTCTTTCAAAGCCTGCTGTCAGCTCTCGATGAGTCTCTCGACTAGTTTAGGTGATAGGAAGTGACTTAGGCAGACGCAAACGTGCCCTCAACACGCGCCATCAGCCGCCTGTCCACAGCCATGCAACCTTCATCCACCATCAGATAAATGTCTAGCTCATGTGTCAAATTGTTGACATTAAAACAGACTTGTAGAAAATTGCCAAACATTTCACAGTCTCCCCAGCCGTCAAGCATGGGTACTTGGCTTTCTTCGCCTGCCGTTTCCGAGTCAGACAACCACGCCGCGCCGTACATCTCAGTCCGCATATCGACCTCGTCTAGCAAGCTTACTATGACAGCCGGGATTCCGCTCATGATCGATGTTTGGGTCATTTTGCACCATGAGCCGGATCAATATGGAAGCTTAAATCACTTTTTCGGATGAGGTTGGGGACCCCTAACGAGAATGATTTCTTGTAATGGCTTCAACAGTGCAATCGCGCTTCTCTTATTCCCGGTACAATGTTAATCAATGGTGCCTCCTCTGATCACACTCGTAAAAGACGGCACATAATTAATGATATTGATTGATCACTGATGCAAGAGCTCAAGGTCTCTGCATCTAAATATGACTGGTGACGTTCAATGAAACCACTCGAAAGGCAACATACATAATTGTTAGATCAACCACTTAAGGTAGAGTTTAGACTCTTAATCGACCTAACAGCCTCAAATAGCGTTGAGGCTTTTAAATATCATATCCTGAAGTAAGGCTAAATCGACTTTTCAAACACGCTCGCAATATTCTACAGCTCATCAGTTCATGTTGAATGCCACAGCACCTCCGGCTCCACGACCCCAAAATGCTTGCACACAATCGTCAAGCCTTACCAAATCAAGGCTCACCCCAAATCTCATCAGCAATCTGCCTCACCAGAGATAGCTTCTTCTTCTCGTCATCCAGGCTTAGAGGGTATCCGCTCTCATGGGTGCTGAAACCGCACTGAGGGGAAACGCAGATGCGCTTGAGCGCCTCCTCCTTGGTCTCGCCGCTGCCCTTGGCGACGAACTCAGCCGCCTTGTACACGCGAGCTTTCATCTCCTCCTTGTCCTCGAGGGCAGGTACCTTGGTGCTGATGATACCAACGACCACGTTCTTGTTCTTAGGGAGGAACTGCAGGGGCTCGAAGCCACCCGCGCGCTCGGTGTCGTACTCAAGGTAGAAGGTGTTGACGTTGAGGTTCTCAAAAAGCTTCTTCGCGATGATGTCGTAGGCACCCTCGGCAAAATGGCGTCCGCCAATGAAGTTTCCACGGCACAAGCTGCACCTTGTTAGTATTGGTCCTGTCCTTTCACTGCTTTAAATGTACTTACTGGATGCCTGTGTGCATGTCTTCGGGGAGCTTGCTGATGCTGTCGTTGTAGAGCTTGATGTAGGCGTCAAGCAGGTCCTCAACGGTACCATCGTTGTCCTTGTCCTCCTCCCACCCTTGGCGGAACTTTTGCGAACAGAAGTCTGGACGAAGTCAGTAAAAATCGCCTTTTCTGAGATCGCGGTTACTTACAAGCCATGCCCGGGTCATCGAACTGAACGTTACGCAGACCAGCCTTGTAAAGCACCGCAAGCTCGTCCTGGTAAACCTTGGCCACGTCGTTGAAATACTCGGCGTCGCTGGCATACGCCTCCTTTGTGTAGGCTCGGCCCTGCTTGTAGCGCATATGGAACCACGCAGGCGTGATCATGGTCAGCTTGATGTTGCCCCATTCCTCCTTGGGCAGCGCGGCCTGGACGAGTTGCAACTCGTGAAGGTTGGACTTGGACTTCTCGGCGGAGTGCGCCAGCTTGGCGCCGGCAATGACGGAGTCGCCAGGCATGACCTTGCGGTCCTTCTCGATGAGGCTCACGACGTCGGGGTGGTAGAGGCGGAACATGCTGGCCTCAGCGTCTTGCAGCCGGGTTGTGCCCTCGAACTCGTCCCACATGAGACCCCAGAAACGCGTGCGGTTGTACTCGCCCGAGGTGACACCCTTGATGCCCAGGTCGCGCTGGAGCTTGACGACCTCGGCGACAGACTCCTTCTCGACGGCGGGAAGTCCAGCCTCTTCTTCGGACATGCCCTGATCGCGGATCTTGCCCTCGCGGATGTCGAGGAGCTTCTGGGGGCGGAGGAGGGAGCCCATGTGCTCAGCCCTAAAGGGCGGTGCCTGGTGAAGCTTGGAAGACATGTTGGCGAGCTTCAATACGAGTTTACTGAAGATTGTTGTCTCTTCTCTCTTCTCTCGTCGCGAATTGGCTCAAGGTGAAGAATTTGAAAGTCGTGATGTCTCGGTAGGTGGCCGACCTAATGCTCGAGGCGGGGCAGGGGATTTTAACGGCGGGGCAAATGAGGGGTCAACTCCTGACCGATAGCTGACGAAGGGTGCGAAGGTCCGATTGAGGAGGGCTCAGCTATAAGCTAGCCGGCCTTAGTCGAAAAGATAGCTCATGTCAGCCGGGAATGAACCCAATTCGAGAGCGCCGAGGGGACATGGAGCTTCGCCGCAAAGACGGTGGTCCCAACTCCTGTCGGCAGGGCGCCACGCGCGTGGCTGGACATACTTCTGGGGTGCATTTGCCCCTCCTTGTTTTGTCCGAAGAATGCTCTTTTGCCCCTCATCCCCCACTCGCCCGGCACCAGCGCCGTTGCGTTGACGTCAACGGGATTGGCCGAGTCGGCAGTGGGATGGGGGAGTTGGGGAACGGCAGGCGCGGTCAAAGAAGAAGCGCGAGAAGCCGGTGTCGTTAATGTTTCACATTGAACTTCAACCGGCAAAGCCGGCCGCGGGGTACGGTCTCCGGCCAGGCCCGGTATTGATCCGCAATTGCCGTTTCCAACCGGTGGGAGGCTCGGGAGACATTGAGGGATTGCAAACTTACAATCGGTTGGAGAACTGAACTAAAACTGATCCGCTGCTCTGTTGTCCATTGTTGTGACTTGGCCGTGGCTGCTGTCGATCACTGCCTATGGGAATACGCAGAATTGGTAATTATGGCCCAAACGCTTGGGTTTGGCAACGGCCAAAATTTGGAGCCCGTGGTAGAAAGCTTCCAGAAACACTGTGGGTTCGCCGGGCGGGGCAAACACTAGTCGGAGACAAAATTCATGCTGTCAAGTCTCATTCCTCCATCGCCTATTCGCCGTGCATATCTGGCCCGGATTTTCGGATTTGCGGAGCGGACTTACAAATGGGAATCCACGCCGTGGCATCCACCATTTTGCAAACTTCTTGACTTTGGGATTGAATGAAAGCAGCAGTATCCCCTCATTCACGGTTCTGGGTAAGCTTTTTCGCACTTTTGAAATGGCGTCAACCCCGTGAGATAAGTCTGGGGAGTGAACATTTCAATATGAGCCTTCAGATTGAAATTTGCGGGAAGTAATGATATCAATCGCCAAGGAGGTTATAAATTCAGACGATGACACTTCATGTCGAAAAGACGAGTAATACAAAGAATAGTACTAAAAAAGTAATACAGGACTTAACCTCCCACAACAGGAACAATCTGGCCCAGAATCCTGCGCGTATCACCCTCTTGACTACGTTTCTTACCAGGAACCGACCGCCTCGTACTCTCATCAAGCGTCCAAGAGCGATCTAGCATCTGTCTTCTTGATTGCATCATATCCCGAAGCCTTCATTCCCCACTCAAAGCAATCCGCCCAATGTCGCCCACCATATGAGACGCCAGGTGGCGCTCCGCCTAATTCATCAGATGTCAGCAATTTCAACTCCAGTCATGATCAAGTTTCTTGAGATGGCCACTCACAAGCTTGACTTTCCGCCCAATCCATGTTGGAGACACACTGGTCAACCGTCATATTTGCGACCTCGTCGTCCACTTTCCTGTTCTCCGGGCATGTGGATCCTTGATCAATGTTGCTCTTAATCCAGAAATGCACAAACCCGACATCATATAGCTTGGCTTTGCTATCAGGAGCCCAAATGTCGCGGTTGTAATCGGTCCAGTAGTAGCCGACTTTCGTCTGGTCTTTGCCGAAATGGTTGTCTTTATCTACAACGTATCTGACAGCCTCCTCACAGAAGCGTCGGGTAACGTCCTTGTCAGGCTTGTATGATGGTGGAACTGGCTCGTTCCAGCAAAGTGATTTGCCATGTTCGAGTGTCGGAGCTCCGTTATCGAACTCGAGATTGTAAGTTGCGACGCCGCAGCCGTCAATAACAAGGCGGCCCTTCTCGTTCATCCAGAAGCCCTCCTCGTGGCCTGGAATCGTATCAGTTCGACGTGACTCATGTTTTGATGGTTTGCGGGTGATGATCTGATGCACTCACATGAAGGTTCCGTGACAAATCTGTTGAAAGCTGCAGTACAGGTCTCCTGGCAGCCTGAGCCGTCGCCTTTCGGTTGCCATTCCATGGTCACGTTTCTGGACTCCCCAACGATGGCCTCACCGCGCTGCCACTGTCCTATAAAGCCGCCCTTGTCGAGAGTATTGTTCGTAAACGCGCACATCTCATTGACGGTACTCCGCAATCGTCAGTATGGCCTTTCTCAAGACAGGCAAGGCATTCTCGGTAGAAGACTCACGGCCACCAGTTGTAAAAGTACGACCAGTACGGAGCGGTACACTTGACCTTGAATTTGGGAGGTGCTTTTGCGTTTGACGATGCGGTCGAATCCAGGTTCCCGTTCAGATGCTCATCCCTGGGAGTGATGTTGTTGAGGAAACGGAAGTGACGGGTGACTTCGTCCTTTGCAGGAGTGACTCGAAGGGTCTCAGATGATCTTGTAGGGTCCTTCTCAGTTGGCATGGCGATCCCGAGAGTGAAGAAGACCGCTGTGACAAGGCAGATGAGGTCCGATGAGAGACGCATGGTTGTTTGGTCTGTTGGCGATAGCTGCGTTCGGCAGGATGAAGAGAATTCTGGAGCTTCCCGATGTTGTACTTTGATTGATTTATCTTGTCGTTGGCATGAAGCATCAGGGAGATATTGGGCCCTCTACCCTTCAAATATTTATACACACTCGTATGATATGATACATATCATAGGCTGCCTCACGATGTGGCATGATGTTCAGAATATTTTCGCGAGAATGATATCAGTGTAACTCCACAGGCGCGTTGCAGTCAATAGAAGACCACTTCAGAAGCAACAGAGAGCCTCATCGAGCCCTTGATCATCGTGAGTTTTGACGGTCAAGTTCCAATCGGAACACTTCTGAAGTAGCCGGAACGCGGTGAAACCCATTGTCCAACGTCACAACTTTCGGCTATTTTGCGAGACAATTTCACTTCTGCGTTCCATCAACGATCGTACACAATCTTCTGATGCTATTCTTGAAGACTTCTGGTTACCTTTTAACGGGCAAACAGGGACCAGGTGATGAAAATTTGCCAGCTCAGCTCAATGACGCCATTTGGGACTATTTCCCTTCCAAGACTGATTGGCATTGATGTTTCAATAGAGTTAGTCGAACCATTTCGCTCCAACTCGTTTGCCCCATTGGTCAAACATACTACGGACCCAACTTCTGACGGGCCGTGGCTGCGAACATAGCCGAAGCCGGGGGTGGATATCTGCGCCATCGGTATCCCGAGTGAAGGGTCACCTCCCGAGCTTTCGACTAGACTGTTGGAATGGGTAAGCAATGTCTTTTGACTTAACAAGAGAACTCCTTTTCGTAGATGGACTGTCTCCTCTTTGATGTGGCTCTGTAGTCCTACTGCAGTCCCAATGGCTTTGCCGTCGTTAGCAGAAATTGCATGTTGGCTTGATGCCAATGTCGTGTCCGCCTGTTGTCCAACCGGCGCTGGACTCCACCAGGTCGTGCGCATCGCCACGTTTCTGATATCTCCGATCCAAATAATCACAACGGCGCTGATCATGATACACTGTCTCCGTGCAAAGTGACCATGGATACTTATTTCTGCCTGATATGGTCGGTGCCTCAAGCACCTCGGGCTTTGATCTGTACCTTATCAATCGCATCTCTCCGCGCGGGTCTTGTGATCTGGATGTAGAGTTTGATGCGATTTACGCAAGTGGGAACCTTTGTAGCAGTTCGATGAACAGCGCCATGAGCAGCACTGGCGACTCGGCTTCTATTCCGCCTCGCTCGGGATTCACCATGCATATTTATGTGGTACGAACAATCGACAAACATCGTCAACAACATCCAGAGCATAGCCTTTATCGTCGTACGATCTCGGTCCGAATTTGACTGCTGATAGAGGATATCTATGGACCTTCATGTTCTGAACGATATCCTGCTTGTCAGGGGCAAAACTCGAGTCCTGCTACAAACCCCGTTGAAGATGCGGGTGGTGGCATGTAGATGTCGCCTGACCAAATAAATTTCACCGGCTGTTTCTCCGCTTTTCATCGATAGGGTTTCGGGTACCAGAATGTCATGTCATACAACAGATGGAGTCCGGAAGAGATGTGTATTCAGGTGAAGTGGCTATTGCCGGGTCTCTGTGCACGTAAGCTTTAGAGAAAAGGCATATGCCGAATCCCATCTACATGAAAGGCATGAGCGATGTACCAACAATACAAGCGCGAGAAGATGACCAAGATAATGAAGCCGGAAGTCGGTCAGCGAGCCTCTTTCTGATATGAGAGCGATGGGTGGATGGTTTAGTTGGAAGCGAAAGGTGTAAATGAGGAAAAGCTAATGACATCGATTTGAAAACAAATGGTAGAACGATCATCCATCTGGCAAGACACTCCCGCCACGGGTGGCGTGCAGCCTGTATCGTTTTCCAAGACAAGCAACAGCAACTGATGATGCGATATTTGGACATGCCAGATCACTGCTGAAACCACCAAACGGGAGGAACATCAGGGACAATGTTGGAAGTGATCAGAAGTATAGAAAGTCAGCCCTTTTGCCACGGGTGGCGTGACCGCGATGATAAGGTGTGAACCAACCCAATGACAGACTCCCGAGATGCAGCCTATCGCTTCCCACCGGCTGGAACCGACCAACACTCCACTCAACACCCAGGACGGGCACCTACAATATGTAGTGACCTACAGCTGGATAGTTCGTCTCATCCTTACGAGCCAGCGTCTGACGGGCGAAGATGGTGGCCACCACTTCGCTTTGTTGCCTGCCCTGGCAGTAGACACTCAGATCGTTTACTTGGACCAACCAATTCGGATACGAATCACCGAGGAAGTCATGCATATCTCATTGCTCAAGCAGGCAGCCAGTCGAGTGCCCGCAAATCGCCAAGACGCTGGAACTTTTGCAGATCTTGGATAACCATAACGGGCAAGGCTATCATCGCGACCAATCACCCCAGAGCAGAAGGCGAATCCAGATGCCGCTTGCTGACTCCCATCATGCCCAAAGGGACCTGCACAAAAGCGAGCGGCTGAAGTGCAGGGCGCGCGCATCACCTACCCTTGCTGGTATGGAAGTCCGCATGTCACGAGCTCACCTGCACAGATGGCGGGCGCGTGTGGTGGTGTGGGTTTGTGTGTGCACTTTTTGACATGATCCCACCTGCCGAGGGAATTCGAAAAAAGCAAAGACATCCCCTCGTTCAAAGCAAATTCCCGGCCTTCCAGCGCGGGCCATATGGGCCGTCTTGGCGGGAATGTCGTCCAACCCGCGCTGTGACCCAACCAACACCCCTTGATCGGGGCAAACCGCGGGCCAACAACAAGCTTGTGGGCCTACCTCCAGATAAGGACGGAATGGCGCATTGGATGCCTTTTCTCGTTTGCCTGCTGTCAGATGGGGGCGGAAGTCTGGAGGAAGCCTAGGCCTGGTGTTCAGGATGCGTACAAGCAGGCATTTCCAGCGAAACGGAAATAAGTGGGAATTGTCAGTCAGTGATCACTGTGTCGGACCCAGGTTTGAGATAGAAGCGCCCGTCGACCGTCGTCTGGAATCGAGATTTGCAGGGAGCCATCAGACAGAACACAATGCGGTAGCGCCGTTTGTGGAAATGTTTGTCGGTCTCTGCATTCAACACGTCCAACAGATGGGTTCCAACAAGGCTGCTGAGATCAGCTGGTGCTCGCAAAAGTGCCGCTGGGGGTACGTTGTACCTTGAGTAACGTTCGTTACTCATCTTATCCGCCATCGGCGCGCGTAGCATTGCTGTGGGGAAACTCGGAACTCTCCCACTTGTCGGCCGTTCTCCGATTCCCGCGAAGGAAAAACAATGGCCAGCAGCGCTGAGGAACAGCAGCCGCAAACCGCGACAAGCCTTTGCCAGCCGCCTTAAGAGATCCGGCCGAGAGGTTGCCCAGACGGGCGCGCTGCAAAAGAACCTCTGGTCGAACTTTTGATTCTCTTGGTAGGCAAGGGGGAAACGGAATGCCAACATGGCGTCGCAACGGCCGCCCTTCCAAGAGTGCTTGACATGTCTTGCCTCTCTGCGCCGAGCCGTGGCACAGTCGAATGGCGAACAGGAACTTGGCCGACAACCACCGCTCACTTGACGAGTTGGAGGGGGAGAACCACAATATATAGGCGGCTTGGCGGAGCCCTTGGCGGCATGGCCAAGACGTCCGAGTCGGGGGTTGTCGCCGGGATATTGCAGCAGAAGCGGAGTCCTCCTCCGGGGCCACAGGTCCATCGACCTCTCCTGATAAGGAAGCTGGTTGACGCTGGTCGACGGCACCAACCAACCGCGACGGCGGACGGGAGGTCGACCTCGCGCCGCCCAGCCCTCCATTCTCGAGCCGATTCTGTGATCCGGAAGGGTGGCCCCAGGACCTTTTGATCTGCGACGTTCGCGCCGCAGGGATGGGGATGGGCTGCTCGACAGAGACATGTCCCATACTGATTCCGTGCCTCCTGACTGGTCGCGGGCAGAGAGTCATGACACATCAGGTTATTGTTCTGCCAATCGATGAGGCGGTTCTTGGGAATTGAATCAACTCACAGATTACCCAGCAAATAAACTATTCGACAACTGGGGAAGACATTGGCTCCCCCTCTGCTGATCGATAACGGCCTTGGCACGCCAGGGCCCTTTTGCTCCTGGGATTTCGGCCGGCCGTCCAGACTCGGTGATTCCCCAAACCACCTGCGGAATCTGGTAATCGTCATTACGATCGTTGGTTGTCGTCGACGCCCGCCATGGGTATCAGCCGCCACCCCCATGAGAGGCAAAAGTTCCATGGCCCTGGTACCCTAGAAGGGTCGGATGGTCAGTTGCAGCATGGCGGCGGTCCCCGGTATGCGTTCGGAGCTCCAACCGTGAATTCTTAAAAGAAACCCGCAGACCACCGTCTCCGTCGAGGGCTTTCGCTTCTCTTTTGACATCAAGCCAGGTCTCTCTTTGCCTAGAGCCAGCCAGCACAGCCAGCCGGTGTGCCGACTTGAATCCGACAAGCACCAATCTCGACGACCCTCGTCAACATGGTGGCCACGAACCCCATCCCCGGGCCCATCCAGGCCGAGACTCAGATTCCCTCTGTGGATCCTGCTCACGACCCCAACATCGTCACCGAGAAGATCCGTCACTCTGAGCAGATTGACGATCTCAAGAGCGAGCTCAGCGATGGCGACCAGATCACGGATCTCTTCAGCCCGTTTCCCGAGGTCAAGGGTATCGAGCCTGAGGAGAACCCCTTCACCATCCGTGCCGTTCTGACGGGTATCATCCTCGGTTCTCTCGTCAATGCCTCGAACGTGTACCTCGGTCTGAAGACCGGTTTCTCGTTCACCGCCACCATGTTCGGTGCCATCTTTGGTATGTCTTGCCGCGCTGGCAATGCAAGTAGACTTAACTGACACACGAACTCTAGGCTATGCCATCGTTCAAGTCCTGGCCAAGACGGTCCCTCACATGCCCATCCTCGGAGGCCGTTTCGGTCCCCAGGAGAACTCCATCATTCAGGCCTCTGCCACCGGTGCCGGCGGCATGTCCGGTCTCTTCGTCGCAGCTCTCCCGGCCATGTACCAGCTTAACCTCATGTCCGACAACCCTCGTGAGGACTTTGGCCGCATCTTGACCATCACTGTCGTCTGCGCCTTCTTTGGCCTTTTCGCTGCGGTGCCTCTTCGCAAGTTCTTCGTCATCAACGTTGCTCGCGAGTTGAACCTTGTTTTCCCCACACGTAAGTTGGACTCACTGTGCTGAACTCCCAAGCATCCGCTGACAAGAGCAACAGCAACTGCGACTGCCCTGACTATTCGTTCCATGCACGCCGTCGGCAGCGGTGCTGCGGACGCTGTCAAGAAGATCAAGACCCTCGGATACACCTTCGTGGGTGCTCTGGTTCACATTGTTGTGTCCCAGTATGCCGACGGTATCCTCCACAACTGGCACATCTTCACCTGGTTCTACATCTGGAGCGGCTACAAGAACTGGGCCATGAACATTGAGAACTGGGGCTGGTACATCCAGATCACCCCCGCCTTCTTCGGCTCCGGCATGCTCGTCGGTCTGAACGCCGCCTGGTCCTGGTGGGGAGGAACTTTCTTCGCCTGGGGCTTCGTCGGCCCTCTCTTGGTCAAGTACGGCGAGGCCGTCGGTGTTGCCCGAGCTCCGGACGACCCCAAGTGGCATGACAGAGTCGCCTTCAACGGCATGACTATCAGCGATGAGCCTGACTGGGTTCCTTCTCCCCGCTACTGGTTCTTGTGGCCCGGAGTCATGGTCTTGGTGTGCTACTCTATGGCTGAGTTCGTCCTCCACATCGGTGTCATCCTCGACGGTGCCAAGTTTGCCTTCCGTTCCGGTGCGAGAAGCATCAACAACCGTCTCCAAGCCAAGGGAAAGTCCAACGAATTCCTTGCGAAGCATGCTGCTAAGGCTGATGCTGCCGATGGTCTTGTTGAGGACTTTGCTCCTCCCAGCCAGCAAGTCCCGGCCTGGGTTTGGGCTACTGGCACTCTTGTCTTCGTCGTTGTGGCCTGCATTGTCTGCCACATTCAGTTCCACATGAACGCTGGCCTCGCCATCCTTGCCTGTATCCTGGGTCTTCTCTTTGCCTTCCTCAGCATTCACGGAGGTGCCGTCACCGACTGCACTCCTTTGACTGCCTCTGCCAAGGCCTCTCAGCTGGTTTTCGGCGGTGTCACAAAGGGACAAGGCCTTGAGATGCACAATGCCCAGCGCATCAACCTCATTGCTGGTGGTATTGCCTCTGGCACTGCGGACGTGGCAACTGCTCTTGTCAGCGACTTCCGTGTTGGTTTCCTTCTTCGCACCCCGCCCCACTTGCAGTTTTACGCACAGGCCATCGGTGCCCTCGTTAGCGTGTTCTTAGCGCCAGGAGTGTTCGTACTGTTCATGGCTGCGTACCCATGCATCTGGCATGAACTTGACGCAACAGAAGAATGCGCTTTTCTCGGTATGTTTTCGCCCTCATTTTTTCTGCATTTTCAAGCTGACCGGGAAAAAAAGCGCCTTCGGTAACGGCTTGGCGGGCTGTAGCGGAAGCTGTGACCCTTCCTCAACTTCCTATTACTCGTTCTTGTGGCATTTTCACGATCGTGATGGGTGTGGTGTGTGTCCTGCAAGCCGCCCTCAAGAACTTCTACCTTGTGGGCAACCGCACCAAGTACAGGGACTACCTTCCCAACTGGATGTCCATCGGTGTTGCCTGGGTTCTGGGACCCGATTCTGGCTATGCCAATGCCATTATGTTCGGAGCTATCACTGCTTGGTGGTGGCGCAAGTATTTCCCCAAGAACTTTGAGACTCACTGCTTCGCGGCTGCCGCAGGTAAGATAACTCCAAACACAATTAATCAAGTGGAAAAAACAAGGCTGACTCTCGAATTAGGTCTGATTGCCGGAGAAGGCTTCGGTGGTGTGATCAACGCCGCGTTGGAGCTTGGTGGTGCCTCGGGCGCATTTTACGGCACTGAGATCGCAATCCCCGGTGGAACATGGTAAACTCTGGCTCCGTAGACCACTCCATAATACCCTGTATATGCCACCCCAATAATATCTACGCTCTCTAATTCATTATCCGTTCCAAACATCAACCTCGTGAAGTTGGCCGATGATCTGCTCGTAACAGTGGGGCTCCGCAGACCGTTCCGGACCCCACTCTAGCCGGTGTCTCCAGCAAAACTCCCGGATCGGAGTTCTAAAGACCCGCCTCTGCCGGCACCCTCCTTCCCACCGGCGCACTCCTTTCTACCTGGGTCCTCCTTCCTGCCCGCGCTCTTCTTACCTGCGACCGGAGGGAAGCACGTCGCATACCTCTTGCCGTTCCAGCGCTGCGTCGGCCAGTTGCGGAAGGGTACTTATTCGAAAGTGTGGACGATCGTGCGCTGGGTTTTCTTCCTGTAGGGAAAACGGATTTCCAGAGTTGAGAGTTTGAACAATCGCCGGTCGGCGCTTGCATAAGCGCCCAGAGGGCAAACCTTATAAGCACAGAGGGCGAACTGCTGTGCTGTATGCCCCTTGAACCCAAAAGCCGGAAAAGATGACAAGCTGTACCCCGATCGTTTTGACTGGGTCGTTGCAAACAACTGCAACGCGAAGCAAAGACATTGGCAATGCGGTTGTTATACCCGGTTCTGAACTGTCCAACTACGCTGGCCGGCAGTGCAACTGGTGGGTCCGCAATATCTGTGGAAAGCTCTCCGCGGAGACCGAACGAGGGACGCTCCTGTGCCGCCTGGTACCGAAGTCGATTCAAGCGGCGCTTCAGCTTCCGTACTCGTCCTGCATTGATGAAATACATGATGCAGTTAATATGAGAATTGAAGTTAATTTGAAATCTGATGATACAATCCTGCTCACGAGGATAACAGATGATTGATCCGGTTGATTATTCAACGTTTCGCTTCTTTCCAAGTCCCGAGCATTAGAAGAGAGACTGCCGAACCAGAGTAAAGCAGGACATCGACAACAATTGACACTGCGCTCGCGCCTGGAATATCTTCAAAACTCAATTATATTGACGGACTTATTCATCGAAACTCCGCGACCCGCAACGCTGAATATTTGTGGATATCATCGACCCGAGAGGCTCGCATTCAGCTTGCGAAACGAGTCGCGTGGATTTGATGGGCTTTGAAGCACAAGTGAATACGAGTGCATAGATGGGATTCCTCCGACGAGGCCGAACCTGCAGACATAAAAGACGACGAGTTGGGCGTCTGAATTCGTTTATTGCAAGCATAACATTTCACACTACAAGCACGACATTCCATTCTCACACAAGAAACTTATCTCGTAAATAATTTTGTGTCAACACTAAACATGCACGCCAAGATCGTTCTTACTGTCCTCTTCGCCGCCATGGCGATGGCCAACCCCGCTGTTCTGCAGTCCGATTCCTCAGAGCACCCCAAGCTCGTTGGCCGTCCCAAGGGTAACCACCCCGGCTCTGGAGCTAGCTGCTGCTCGTCTACCCCTGGTGTCTGCCAGCCTTCATGCGTTAATTCATAGCTCCCCTAGGCGGAAAGTTTTGTTACACGAATGTTAATGGCCTCATAGTGCCCGATTGGATGCCCCTAAAGGATGTGTCGATGATGCATCGACTTGTCCGACGATGTCCAGTTGCGCCAACGGGAAGGCTGCTTGAGGTCTGGTCGTACCCGCCGAAATCTAGTAAAGCATTCTGTTCACGCAGTTGCTCATCGGGCACAAGTCAGGGTAGTTGAAACCAATATAAGAGGGCTTTTCTAGAGTGGCTGAACGGGCTGTAACCAATATCCCAACTAACATATATGTGACTTCAAGAATGTAGCTATGTATCTCTGTCCACGACTCCGAAGAAGGGCCACACCTACTCGCGCCACAGATGCTCCACTGTGCCGTATCCAACGCTTGAGCCGACAAGTTGTGAGAGGAATTCATAATCTATTTAGAGAGACACAATATCCACGATATCTATTTCCTCGCTAACGTAAAGATGTTAACACCCATGGCGCCAGGCTCCGTCGGAAAGCGACCCCGAAAGTATTTACCAATTACCCACAAGAAACCTCAGCTAGGCACACTATTACTCTTTCTTCCCTTCCAAGTTGTCTTGTTCGCAGTTTGCCGCCTGTAGGTGCACCTTTTTGACTGACGTATGACTCTCACGGGAAAACATTCGAGGTCCAGGATAGTCTGGGTCAAAGAAAAACCTATATGGCCACCTATGGGGTATATGACCAGGGCGTGAGTTGCCAGGGGACAGGAGCATCTCCCTCTTTTGCAGCAGGTGCAACGCGAATGTTGAGCTTCTTCTGATAAGGTGTATTCTGTTAAACTCATATCCTTAGAAAACATTCATCGCTTCCCGTCATCCCCAGATAACGCTCCTATTTATTGACAGCGTATGTGTCTTATTCAGTGGAAAGCAATCCTTGCGGAGATGCTTTTCACCGCACCTTACACGTCAGCGGCTGACATGAGGCTCCTTGCCCCCTTGGCATCATCGCTGGTTGGGACTTCAGGGTCTTGGTCTCTTGGCTGACCAAACAACACCATGCAAACACCCCGCACCCCAGACTCGCTCGTGTCCACAAGCCCCTTTGCCAACTCTTGTTCACTCCTGGGCGAGAATGCAACGGAGATTCTCACATTCCGTGATGTCATCCCAATCTTCGTGCTCATGAAAATTTGGTGTTGCTACCAAGAACACCAAAGGAAAACCCCGCAAAGTCCCAAGCCGAACCAAGCAATCCTGCAAAGGCGCCAATGTTTTGAAAGCGAATAATATTCTCATATCTAGTATGGGAATCTTCCAACGCAGATGGACCACGCGAAGATGAGTGCGGAGGCGATCTGGGGTTGTGTGGGGAAGATTTGAGAGGTTAAAAAGGTAGCAAAGATGGGCTGCTCGACTTTTATGGCTTTCGGTCGTCCATTTAATCCCTCTCTCTCTCTGTCTTGTCCTTGTCTGTTTGTGTTCTTCGTAGCGCTTTCCGATGGCCAACGATAACTTACCAACTCCGCCTGCGGGCCATGATCCCCGAGACGTCATGGGAGCCTCAGAAAAAGTCACTAGCGAAGCTGTCAACCTCCACAGCGTACCAACTCAGCAATCCGAGAACGGAAAAGGAGCTTGTGTGCGGAACGCTGTTGAAGCGCTGGGCATCCCCGACTGGGAAGCGAAACAAAGCAAGATCGTCCGGACGCTGGACATGACCTTGCTCCCTCAATTGTGGATCCTCTACATGTTTAACTACCTGAACCGGACCAACATCGCGTATGGGCCATATTCCAGTATAGATCTTCGAAAAACTGACTTTGAGAAATAGCCAGGCTCGTCTTGATGATGACTTTGAGGCTACCCTTAACTTAGGAAACACTGACTACAGCACCGCGGTAGCTCTGCTCACTGTTGGGTAAGTAAATACCATGGCTGCAGCGCGCCAACTTATCTGACCCTTCTCAGATACATGCTCGCGCAGCTGCCTTCAAACATGCTCATCACCAGAGTTCGCCCAGCTGTCTACCTTCCAGTTTGCGCAATTCTCTGGTCCGGCGTCTCAGCCGCCACTGCAGGCGTGTCGAGCCCCGGCGAGCTGTTCGCCGTTCAGTTCGTTCTCGGAATCATAGAGGCACCGCTATTTCCTGGTGTACGTCATGACAAGTCACCACTTGGCTGGTCTTTTAGTTACTGACTCTGGTGCAGGCTGTCTATCTGATGTCGTGTTGGTACACTCGCAGAGAGCTAGCCCTTCGTACCGCGCTCCTCTACTCTGGCCTTGTTCTCGCGCAAGCTTTCTCGGGATTGATCGCCGCTGGTGTCTTCTCAGGCATGTCAGGTGCAGCAGGTATTGCCGGCTGGAAGTGGCTTTTCATACTGGAAGCAGCACTTAGCGCCTTCTTTGCACTGACTGCCTTCTTCATCTTGCCCAACTATCCTCACTCGAAGACCGGAGGTGCGATGTGGTCGATGACCGAGGAGATGCGGAGAATCGCAGTGGCTCGCATCGAGGATGACCGGGTGGAAGAACCCACCGACTCGACCGTATGGCATGGGCTACGCCTGGCGTTGACGGATGTCAAGACATACATCTTTGTAAGTCGATCACCGAGCCATGCTCTCGATCATCCCTAATTCTTTCATTGTGCAGATCTTCATGAACATCTTCATGACATCCTCCTACGGATTCAACAACTTCTTCCCCACAATGGTCCGTGGTTTCGGTCTGGGTAGCAGCACCATGGCTCTCGTTCTGACTGCCCCGCCTTACATCGTCGGTACCATCGTCTCGTTCTGCGTGGCGTGGTCTTCGGACAGGAAGAAGGAAAGAGGCTACCACATCATGACCAACAACTGCCTTTCCATCACCGGCTTCGTCATCTCGGTCGCAACTCTCAACACGCCCGCTCGATACACCGCGGCATTTCTCTACACGACGGGCAGCTTCTCGGCAAACGCTCTAGTCTACACATGGGCAGTTTCAACACTCAGTCAGACACCCGAGAAGCGCGCTGCCGGCGGCGCCATTGTCAATATCATGGGCCATCTGGGCAACGTCATCTCGCCCTACTTCTTCCCAGACAGCGACTCGCCGAGATACACCATGGCAATGATTCTTCAAATCGTGTTTGCGGGTCTGACTTTCTGTATGGCGTTTACGTCTAAGACGTATTTGAGGCGGCAGAACAAGAAGTTGAGGGTCGTGGCGGATGATGCTGGGGCCATGTACAACCCTTTCACCACGTGAAAGCAAAGATTCTGCCTAGGTTTGCCGTCTTTAGCGGTCAGGGCTTAGCGACTTAGCGTCGTCCTTAGAATCCGCAAAATAAGTCCAGACGCGTACCGATTTTGTGGGTTTTGTTAGCAATTGTCGCAGAGTATCCGCTACAGCTCGTTCCACTCGGTGCGGCTGAACAAAGCCAGCCCTAGCAATATAATTTGTTGAGTAGTTGTCGCTCCGAACCTTTACCTGTGCTGGCTAGGTTCCTGCTTCCCGCGGGTCGCGAAAGCTAGTTTTCCTACGAGCCAGCCCTATGTCTGCACTACAAATTAGGAGATGCTCCCGACAACGTTACTCGTAGGCTAAGCCTTGCTAACGGCGAGGCCGATTGGCCTGGGGAGCGTCCAAGTCGGCATCTTTACCGGTGTGCCAAGGATGGTAATGCCCTCCCACCGGCACGATGGGGTCCAAACTGTAGCTTAACACCCCTGGACTGTATCAAGACCCAGTACAACAAATCATCGTTGACTCTATTTAAATAGCATCTGTCTTGTTGCTCAGATGTACTTGCGATAATGCTCAAAGACTTTTTTCTGTACGTGTTGATCCTTCAGCACGCCGTCAGCCATGTCGGACCACTCTTCACTGCAGCAACGCAGAGCTGGCGGAGGCCATTCCAGTGACCAATCCAGCGGCGTACAAGAGACCCTGGACGAGTCCATCCTCGGCCACCTCTCCCAGCTCTTCAACAAGTATGCCGGCTCAAGCGACAAATGGACCCGGGATCAGCTCAGTGTCTTCATGCAGCATGTGCAAGCGGAGGACCCCAACGGCGCCGCGGGCTACCTAGTCGACAAGGACGAGCTGGACATATTTGATCTGATCAAGTACATTTCCTCACCATGCGGAAACATGTTGGAGGTGGCGCCGCGTCAGGACCTCTCGTGGCCGCTGAGCAGCTACTTCATCAGCTCGAGCCACAACACCTACCTCACCGGAAACCAGCTCTCGAGCGACTCCAGCACCGATGCGTACAAGGACGTCCTCCTGCGCGGGTGTAGATGCATCGAGATTGATGTGTGGGATGGAAAGGAGCAGTACAAACCGGGCTTCGATGCGGAAGGGATCGAAGGGACCGAAAAGTGGGAAGGCGCTGCTGTTGCCACGGACGGTGCACCTCAGAGTATCGGTTTCAGAGATCGCATGGTCATGAAGGTTGGCCGGTGGATGATGAACAAGTTCGATCCTGTCGATCCAGAGGGGAGGACCGTCGATGAGAGGCTATCGGACATCATTCAAGCAGAGCCGCGCGTTCTCCACGGCTTCACGATGACGAAGGAGGTCCTCTTCCGCGACGTCTGTCGGGTCGTCAGGGACTACGCCTTCGCCACCTCAGACCTGCCACTCATCGTCAGCTTGGAGGTGCACTGCACGCCCCTCCAACAAAGCGCCATGGTCGACATCATGGAAGAGCTGTGGGGAGAGTACCTCTTGCCTGCACCCACAGGCACGCCGGAGGCCCTGCCGTCCCCAGGCCAGCTGCGAAAAAAGATCCTGGTCAAGGTCAAGTACGTGCCCGAAGACGAGAAGAACGACGCCGAAAGCACCACCGCTGCCGAAAGCCTGGACGACGACAGCAGCATGTTCGAGGTCGTCACGGAGGGCAACGAGCGCAAGACGAAGAAGGTCAAGCCGCCCAAGGTCACGTCGCGGCTGAGCCGTCTGGGCATCCACACGCGCGGCATCACGTTCAAGTCGTTCGAGCAGCTCGAGGCCTCGATGCCGAACCACATCTTCTCGCTGTCCGAGAAGGCGGCCTTTGCGATCCAGAGGCGGATGCCGCGGGCGCTGTTCATGCACAACCGCGCGTTCCTGATGCGCACGTATCCGCATGGTATGCGCGTGGACTCGTCCAACTTCGACCCTGTCGCGTTTTGGAGGGCGGGTGTACAGGTTGTTGCGCTGAATTGGCAGTCGTGGGATGTGGGCATGATCTTGAATGAGGGCATGTTTGCGGGGTCTGATGGCTATGTGCTGAAGCCGGAGGGCTATCGCCAGCATGATGGTGCGAATGGCAACGAGGGGGAAGAGGAAGAGTTTGGATCAAAGATTGTCGGCAAGACGCTCGATCGGATCGCTGTTACGGTCCTCGCGGCGCAGAATCTTCCTCTGTTGAACAGAGACGACGATCCTGCCAAGTTCATCCCGTACGTCAAGGTCGGCCTGCACACAGAGCCAGATGCTCTGGCGGCGATGGTGAGCGAAGGCACTGGCGGAGAGCAGGTGAAGCAGGTTGGATACAGCGGCCAGACGAGCAAGAGCAGGGGCACCAGCCCAGACTTTGGCGGCGAGGTGATTGAGTTCTTGAATGTGGAAGGTGTCGTGCCCGAGTTGGCGTTCTTGTCGTTCGTGGTGATGAACGATGTGATTGGGCCGGATGTCACGACTGCGTGGGCGTGTGCGCGGCTGGACAGGCTGAGACTCGGGTACCGCTTCATCAGGGTGTTGGACAAGAGCGGTATGCCGACGAATGGCATTCTGTTGATCAAGACGGAGCTTAAAGAGGCGGAAGTCATCAAAATCCCACGTCCCGAAGCCTCAAGTCCAATAATCTAGTTCTCCGAAGCAATGAGGGAACTTCTTCACCGCGAGAGAACCACAACGGTTTCACTATAAAATCAAGAGAAATCACCATATCGGCTTGAGCTCGCCAGAAATATGATTGCCGTTGGAGCATGGGGATGTCATCATTCTACAGAAGCATCATGAGGTGACAACAAAATCACTGTAGGGAATCGCTTAGAAACGTTCCCAAATAAGTTATTTTCTCTCCTCCGTGTTTCCGTCGTCCCACATGTATTGCACTTCATTCCGATCGCAAGATGAAAGCCCCACAAACTGCAGCGTACCAGGTGGACCAGGCTATCAGCAAAATCATAATCGCCGTCAGGTTGCGAGAAGGAACGCTTGCCTGAAGCTGTTGACGAAAAGGCCGCCATTAGGCTTGCCGGTAAGTTGAAGACTCGCCTGCTAACTTTAAATACCTTACCTAGGTAAGTGACTGAGATTATCTGGCAGCAAGGCTGTGACGATTGCTTCATTAGCTTCTATCACTTGTCTCTCCATGGACTGTGAGGACATGGGTACAGCCACAAGGACGTGGACAATTTTCTGTTCCTGTTTCCTGGGAGTTGCCTTTTTCTAAACTTGATGAAATATGCATCCTCCTGGTTCTCATTTGCGTTGAAGGAATCCTCCAGGTGCCTATAGCTATTTGTTCAATTTGCAACGATGGGTGGCTCATTGGTGTTGATGAACTCGAAGCAAGCTCGGCCGAAATGGTGTCGCAATTATCGCAATTACGTGCTGGGGTTACCAAGGCCGACTTGGCGGTCTCAGAACAGAGTGGAGAAGCGGGATGGCGGGGAAGCCAGTGTCCGGCAAGAGTGGCGGATGCTGGAGATGGAGATGCCGACCTCAAGGAGGCCATCGCGATGCAATGCAATCAGATTAGATGTCAAGACCCAATGAGCACGGCAGCGCAAAATTGTTCACCACATGTTTCGAACGAGCCAATTGAGTTCAGAAGCAGCGACAAAGAAAGAAAGAACAGACGACAGGACGACACGTGATGGCGACAATCGCTCTTCCCCTCCACATCCGGAGCTCAGCCGAGAAGGAAGTGTCGATACTGGCTAGTCCCAAAGAAGGATAGTGCCCCACGTCTGGTTCCTTCCCTTCCCGAGAATTCAGTGAAGGCTCTTTCCTCTGGTGCAGCGCAGTCGCTCTTTCCCGCGGATGTCATCCTCCATTGTTCCGACCGTCCGGAAAAAGAGAAGCGGGGCTTTTCATGTTTTCAGCCACTCACAGCGCTGAAAGCGGCCGCCACTGACGGAAGGCAGTCGCAGCAAGGCAGGTGCAGGGCCTCAAGGCACTGAAGGAAAGCCCGTCCAGGTCGGGTGGCACCTGCAGCGCAGTTTTTGTGGCAGGCAGTGGCATTGCAGTGCGGCATTTGACCCAGGCAAGCAGACCAAACTCTGGACAAGCAGGAGCCAACCTCGAGAAATCCCACTCTTTTTTTCCTACTCCTTCCCTTTCGCAGATAGGACCAGACCAGACCTAAACACCACCTCTCCTTCCTCCGACCTCCGAACCATTTTTTGACGTTCGACCCTCTCCCCTCCGAATACCCTCACCAAGCACCACACGACCGCCCACGATGCTGTCCCGAGGATCCGCCCGCACTGCGCAGGTACGTGAAGAGACCCAATTGACGCCCCATTGAGCCGAGGCCTGGTGTGTCCGTGTGTGGTGTAGTGTTTTTTTCGGCCGGATGTGTGTAGCGCGGGCCGCTGTTGGAGGGGAAGAAAGGACAACAACACGGCACCATCGCCATGTCACGATAACGCCATGCGCAAGATTATCAGCTGGGAATTCGCACGGGAGAAGGCAGACAGACCAAGACGCCAACATGCACACACACACACACACACACACACACACACACATCGCAGACTCCAGCAGCTCGGCTCCCCACTGCCACATAACCAACATATCAACACACAGACAGACATGGCTAACCCGCTGCCCTCCAGATTCTGCGCACCGCGCAGCCCGCGCGCGCCTACGCCACGGTCGGCTCTGACATCTTCAAGCCCACCAAGTTCGGCGGAAAGTACACGGTCACCCTGATCCCCGGTGACGGTATCGGTGCCGAGGTCGCCGAGAGCGTCAAGACCATCTTCAAGGCCGACAACGTCCCCATCGAGTGGGAGCAGGTCGAGGTTTCCGGCCTCAACACCACCTCCCCCGAGAAGACTGAGGACCTCTTCCGCGAGTCCGTCGCCTCCCTCCGCCGCAACAAGCTCGGCCTCAAGGGTATCCTCCACACCCCCATCGAGCGTTCCGGCCACCAGTCCTTCAACGTCGCCATGCGCCAGGAGCTCGACATCTACGCCTCCATCTCCCTCATCAAGAACATCCCCGGCTACCAGACCCGCCACGAGAACGTCGACCTCGCCATCATTCGTGAGAACACCGAGGGTGAGTACTCTGGTCTCGAGCACCAGTCCGTCCCCGGCGTCGTCGAGTCCCTCAAGATCATCACCCGCGCCAAGTCTGAGCGCATCGCCAAGTTCGCCTTCAACTTCGCCCTAGCCAACAACCGCAAGAAGGTTACCTGCATCCACAAGGCCAACATCATGAAGCTGGCCGACGGTCTCTTCCGCTCCACCTTCCACCGCGTCGCCAACGACTACCCCACCCTTGAGGTCAACGACATGATTGTCGACAACGCCTCCATGCAGGCCGTCTCCCGCCCCCAGCAGTTCGACGTCATGGTCATGCCTAACCTGTACGGTGGCATTCTGTCCAACATTGGTGCCGCCCTCGTCGGTGGTGCCGGTATCGTCCCCGGCTGCAACATGGGCCGCGACGTCGCCGTCTTCGAGCCCGGCTGCCGTCACGTCGGTCTCGACATCAAGGGCAAGGACCAGGCCAACCCCACCGCCCTGATCCTGTCCGGCTCCATGCTCCTCCGCCACCTTGGTCTCGACGACCACGCCAACCGCATCTCCCAGGCCATCTACGGCGTCATTGCCGACGGGTAAGTCTCAACCTCCCTTGCCTGCCTCAACTCCCAGCTAACAACCCCGCAGCAAGGTCCGCACCCGCGACATGGGCGGTGATGCCACCACCCACCAGTTCACCAAGGCCATCCTCGACAAGATGGACACCTTGTAAATTGCCCCACCATAATGTGTAGCTATAGACACAATAACACACACAACAACCTACACCTCGGCGCCGACCTTTTTTTCCTCGAACTCAAAGACCTTTCCCTGCGACATTAGACGTTGGTCCGTTTCCGTAAACAAGAGGCGCGACTTGGGGGCGACGGGAGATAGATACCAACCCACGCGGTCGAATTGCATAAAAGCGGAGGATGGTAAACAACTGTTAGAATTTTCTCTGTTTTTTTGGACACTGGGGAGCCCGGTGGGAAGTGGGGAGGTCTCGGCGGGAAGATTGTAGTTGTACCAAGTTGTACGTAGCATAGGAGTCACGCAAAGCATATGAATTCCCTTTTTCCGTCTTCAACTCTGGGCACCCAAGCTTTCTTATATGCGCATTGTGAGCGAACTGAGGCAAGCGTTCCTGGTCACGGCATAGCCTTTCCGCCCCATGACGAATTCCCCCGATGCGTTTCGCCAGCTATGGCCCGTGGGGTTAAACGATAGCCTCGTGCCGAGAAGCCCGTTCCAAAAATGCCCCGAACCACTTCAGCCTCGTCTGTTCCAGCGAACCACCGTCTTCGGATTGGACACGCTTGTGGGAGGTCGTTTCGGCTCGGAGGGGTGGTTCGCGTGCGGGTTGTGTGCTCGGGTAACGTCGGCAATCCGAGGGGCTGGCTCGGCTGGCCGAGTTTTTGTCTCGGGGTAAGTCGGAACGGCCGAGTTGAAGAATCGGAGAAGGAAGGAATTGTGGGGCGTTGTTAGTCAGTTGCTGAAGACTTCAATGCTGGAAAGAGTTGGGTATAAAAAAGAAGAGTTTCCGCCTGTTTTACTTCCGAAGACCAATTTGCGTTCCAGAACATGTGACTCCATGCTTCCGAGATTTGCGATTTTCTTGTGCGTACCTGGACAGATCAAAAGGTTTTGAGAATAATATCCAGCGACAGCTATCTAGAACACAAATAGTCGAAGAGAATAACCTAGAGATTAAGCCGTTAGGGAATGACTACGTGATTTGGATACATTTTTAATGAAATGAGACGTTATGGGTTTCTCAGGGAGGTACGTTGTGATGAAGCAGTCGCCGAGTCGCTGCGCAACTACCAGAAATTAGCAATAGCGATCCAGTCAATGATTAGCGTGCCTTCATCACGACGCAGTCTAATATTGTCTCATGATATAAACACTGCGGTATGCTGTCACATAAGGGGCAAGTTGATCTGGTGCATGTACATTAGTGTATTGCCAGTTCGCCCCTGAGTATATATTTGTCGAGGTTGTTCTTGCGAGTTTCGGGCTCCGCTAAACAATGGGCAATGGCGTACATCTCCGTGATTGTCGTTTCTATGGGCACAGGGCACTTGTTCAGCTTTCCTAATATCAGCGGTGCTTGCAAGGCTTTACCTCGGACATAATGCTTTTATGACAGGAGATTGTAACGTGAGGTACGGTTGACAATACCCGCATGACGGCTGAGATCCGGGACGGAAATGGCGTAGCGTGAAAATCAAAGAGAGTTTCAACGCCGTATAGCAAGCTTGGGGAGAGAAACACTTCCGGCGTGGAACTTGGAAAATGAATAAGTACCCACTGCGAGTTTGACGCTTTTTTCCTTCTGAACGAGATAAACTGAGAGCCTCACAAGACGTGGGACATGACAAGCCATCAATGACACCTCCAATCTCAAGAACCTCATTTCTATCGTCTTTGCATGCTCACAGCAGCTAGAGAACGTGGTGCTTGCAGTTGCTGCGCATGCGCTATTAACGATTCGAGTATGAATACTTCCAATCACCCTAGATGAATAGGTGTAGGATGGAGAACGCTGAAGGATGAGCAATTTTCAATAGGAGCACTACGCATGTGCAGAACGGGGAGATGTGGGAGACTTGTTCACACCTGGGAAGCCTTATCTCGAGCCGCCACGCGTGTAATCATCTGCGAAACACTGCCAAGACTGCTTCTGGACTATAAATTTAGTGTTTGCACCCGCCGCTGAAGCATCTCCACGCAAATTGGATATTATTCTGTTCTTTCGCGGCCGGAGTCCACGTAGGCTGGAGAGTCTGGTGGTTGGCGTTAGTCTTTTCGCTATTACGTGTACGTGTTCAACTCCAGCCCATACATACCTCCTTGCCGACCAATGATTACGCAAGAACACTCATGAGACAGAGGTGTTGAGGCACAGAGACCATGGATGGGCGCCAGGTCTTGTGTTGAAGTAAATCTTTGCTGAGGGGATATCTGATGCTGGGGCGACTGTTACGGCACATTCTTGTCGGCTGATACTTGCTGCTGTGTATAGAGCAAGCTATCGCCCGATTTCTGTGTCGCTTTCTATGTCTAGGCGACTTGTAATCTTTTCATAATTTTATAATCAACTGGCGTCTTTTCCTAGGGTATGATATGGTAGGCTGCCGTGAGTGAAGAGTTTCAAACCCAGGCACGAGTAATTCAAGCTGGCAAGTATAAAGTCCAGCAGATTGTAACCTGATTCTGTCCTTTAATGGAATTAGGTGGCGAATTTAAGCTATCTGTTGGAATCCTTTGTCCATATCGTCGTTTCTCATAATGGTATGACTTCGTTCCGCGGCTGGCAGATTGATATTCGCACATACTTCGCTCGTTTTGCTCGCTAGGTAATCAGAGATGGATACTGCGAATCAAACATTCAAATGTTCCAAGAATTGAGACGCTGAAGGTTGATGTACAACGGCAACGCAGTATTGGTGACATGGGGAGGTTTCACCAGAGTCATTCACCAGTGCAGACGTTCTTAGCCCTTCTCTCCTGTTACGCCCAGGCGATGTCGGGGTTACTCACTGGTTGACTATATATTTTATGGTGGTATTTGGTCGCTGTAATCTTGCCAGGCAATGTTTCTCCAATTTGCCATTTTTGAGATCCCATTGATGGTCCAGACACCGCTTGGTGGTTCTTGCTGGTCTTGCTGTTAATGGCAAGTCGGAGTTTGATCTGTCCTGCCGCTTGCAGGAGACTCACATGCGAGATAATACCTGCAGGACAGCCGTAATAGAGAATGACAGCTTTGTTAAGACAAATCAGTCACAGCATTCTTTAGACCTACAATCGAGGTGAAGCCCAAAGCTGGGAAGAGCCTCAGCACGCACCTGGATTGACGTATACATTTGATGAATGCTGTATGATTTGGCACGGCGTTATGCTTTTTTATTTACTAATACTCTTTCTAGTGTTCAAGGGTCGGCTGACTGTTATAAAAGGGTAAGGAGCGGCAATTGAAAGACGGAAAAGACGGCAATCGTCCTTTCTCAACTTGCGTCTGGGCTGGGTTGAGATGAAGCCAGTCCGTCTGGCTACGGGAATGGAGAGAGTCCATCCCGCTATGAGAAATGAAAGTTTGTGTCCCAATGGAATTTATATATCGTCGCTTGAAATACGCAAATACAAACACTGAAATACTCAATGGGTGAAGATGACAGACAGGCCAAGCCCAAAGACATCCCGACGCCATTTGACGAGATGGCCAGCTGGTATTGCATCAGATGTGCTAAAATTCTCACTACACGGAGCCAGTGAGTTGCCTTGTAGCTGGGCAGTACTGTTGCGATTTATCACTGATTCTTGGTCGTAGGTAGCTGGTTGTTTTCAAGCCCTCGTCTCAGAATACCCAGGAGATGAGACTGGAAAGGAAATCCAAAGTTGTTGAAGCCATAAGTAACTTCCTTGGCAATCCGTTTGTACTGCCCGTTGAAGCACAAATAATATGCATGAATTTTCGTGTTTCATTACTTTATGTGGCTTGAACATTACGTGTCATGTAAATGGTCATTGATATCGTTGGTAAGCTCTTGATAGCCCAAACTCTTCAGACAGGAATCTTGAACCCTGAACGACGGAGGTTCTGGAAAACACCACTCGGGTCGTACTTGGAAGAAGCAGCCTTGAGCTTAGAAACAGCGGCCTCTCCAAAGGTTGAAATGACATCTTGCACCTTGTGGGCATAGTTGAGATACTTCCACTCCCATGCGACACCCAGAGAGACCGCGTGAGCCTCCACATCGTCAATGTAAGCCTTGATCAAACGGAATGCAATGGCCTCCTTGTCAGCACCGTTGATGGCGAACGTGAGCAGGAACATGATGCCGTTACCCCTCTGGATGTAGTGATCCAAGCCCATGATGTTGCCTCCATTCTGGACGCCTTTCTCAACGATAGACTTGGTAATCGGTTGAAACATGCAAAGGGTGTTAAAGCCGGACTCGACACCAACAGCCGCCTCCAGATCCGCAACGAGGGTGTAGTGCTTATCCGCTGCGTAGTTGATGATGCGGGCATCGTTGTCGAAAGCCAACGTAAGCCAGGCGTTTCGGAAACCGGGGGGCTGACCTTGGCCAAGCTCGTTGGCGACGTTGGACATGAGGTCGAGCTTCGTGGTGTCCTGCGTGATATTGCCGGCGGCGAAGTAACCATCAAACGCCGGGGGTCTGACCTTACCCAAGGCGTTCTCGATCGCAGCGTTGAGGAACATACCGCCGGCCGAGGGCAGGTACACCCAGTACATGATGGACGAGCTGTTCTCGTCCTTATACACGTTCTCCGTGAAGTCGACTAGCGCATCGACGACCTTCGGGCCGGAGCTGAGGTCATAGAAGATGTTGCCGCCCCAAATGACAGGGTTGGTGGGGTCGGGGAACTCAATGGCGTACATGTCGAAGCGGGTGACGAGACCGAGGTTGGCGCCGCTGCCCTTCAGGCCCTGCCAGAGGTCAGGGTTGGAGGTCGCGTTGGCATTGACGATAGAGCCGTCCGCGAGGACAACCTCGAAGTTTGCGACGTTGTCGGCTGCCATACCGTGGGATGCCGAGTGGAATGAGTTGCCGCCCCCAGTGATGAAGCCACCGGTGCCTACCGTTCCGGCTCGGCCGCCAGTGACGACGACACCGTGGGGTGCGAGGGTGTCGTAGACCGTTTGCCAATGGCCACCGGGCTGGATGGAGGCGAGCTTGGTGTCGGGGCTGTAGGTGGTGC